ACCAGATCTCTGGGCATCTGTGTCCCAGTCCATTTAACATGTAAAATTAACCATCAAAATGGCAGAATCAGAAAATAAAAGAAATCTGAGTTACTTGATTGAATGAAAAATCTTGCCAGACAGAATATCTTCCTTGGACTTTTCTGTGGGTAAAAGAAAAACCCTCCTGTTATGTTGGAGCCATGATGCAGTTATTTCTGCTGTGACACAGAATAGACATTGTGAGACAAGCCACACAGTCAGCAAAATTGTTCATTCAGAATAATGCTTTTAGGAATATTAGGATTATGGTCAAAGCACTAAAAATGTATATAACTTTGCAACTAGAGCACTGACAAAAACAGTAATTGGTACCTTGAGAGGCAACTTGGACAGTCCAGGCAGGAAGCTCAGCATGGTTGAAGGTTGCCTCAAAGCTATTAAAATGCTATTAAAAAATAATTGTGGGAAATTATAGAGATAGAAAACAGATTAGCCATTGCTAGGGCTTAGAGATGGTGAGATGGTAGTGGAAGGGGTGGGCATGGCTCTGAAGAGATAGCACGGAGAGCCTGTGGTGACAGAGCAGTTTTGTCACAATTTCCTGGCTATGATATTGTACTATAGTTGTATAAGATGTTACCATTGGGGAAACTGAGTGTAGATATATGAAACAACCCTGTGCATTTTTTGAAATTTCCTACAAATCTATAATTATTTTGAAATCAAAAGTTAAACACACACACACACACACACACAATTGGGTGGAAATGCTGTCTGTAGTTGTAGAAACCGTAGATAGAAATGGAGCTCTGAGCTCCAGGTGGCCAGAGGAAGTGCAGTCTCCCTGAGCAGGGCTGGGAAGGAAGCCCAAGGTGTTGTTGCACTTATTTTTATTTTCTTAACCAATACCTGAAAGGGCTCTTTTTTGCTTATGTATTAGCCAAGCTGAGGGCTGTTTCCCTTCCCGTGGAAGGTTATAATCCTATTCCCCTTCTCCAAGCTCTTCTTCTTTCAAAGTATGTTACTGTTTTGAATTTGGCTTGTTTTCTGCCTGGACATTTAGAAAAGTATACTTGATTAGATGGGGATATTTTCAAAATATAAGCCATAAAATCTTTAAGGGACAGAAAGTTTTCTTGGATGATTTGAATTATATGAATAGACCTGCCTTTGTGATATTCCCAGGTGTCTTTCTGGGAATGAGCTTCTGCAGATTGTTGATGTCCCTGTGTGTAAAGGAATACAGAGGCTCAACCAAAACATAGTTAGGGCCTGTAAAAGCCTTCAACTCAGAGGTCTTAACCACCAGTCCATAGGAATCCCTAGGGCAAATGCAGGTTACCTGATCTCCCACCCCTAGAGTCTCTGAACCCATTGGTTTGGGAATGAGGTCCAGGAATATGCACTGTAACAACCACACCAGGCATGTGGATGGTGCCTACCTGAAGATCACTCTTTGAAAAAGACAGGATTTAATCCTCAACACGGAGGAAGCTGGCCCACTACCTTTTAAGGATTTAGCTGAGTTCCTTCGGAGAGAGTGTAATTTGGCTGAACAGTGAGCTGTGGAAGAGATGAGTAGAGGCAGTGCTTCAAAGACATGCTGAGCAAACTGAAAAGCAAGTTAAAGCACCGTGACATTGCTTCCAAAGCCCGGGATTGACAGCCGCTGACAGTCGTGCTTGTACCAGTGTCACCTCTGAATACAAAGAACATTGGGTATTTTGATATTTCAGCTAATAAAATGTTAGGGAGGAAAATAGTCCCCTAACTAGTTTCCTCCTCTGAAGACTCACTGTGGAATAATAATGCCTTATATTCATGCATCAGCTTCCCAATCACCAACGTATTTGAAGCCATCACAGAGAGATCTTTTAAATCATCTGCCCTGAGGCAAATGGTACGTTTCTTAAAATTCCTTGAATGTTGAAAAAAATGTACTTTTGAAAAACACATTCCAAGTTCTTTATAGCTTAGAAACAGTTCCTTCTAGGGTTGTTAGGAGCTGTCCAGCTGAAATAAAAGTGAGCACAGACCGAGGCAGAAAGCTGGTTAGCAGATGGTTAGGACATCAAGGAATGTCTATGCCCATGTGACACTGTGTGGCATCCGAATCTATAAAGATTATGAGAACTATGATTTGCCAAACACTGTCCTGAACTTTCATTGAAGATCACCCCTCTTACACTCTTGGAGACTCTGAGGTCTGTCTGGTCCATTTTTAGAATATGTGTTTGGAATGTTTTTAGCTTCTCAAGGATAAGAACCATGGCCTGTTGGTTTTGTATATTCCACATTTAGTACATGGCCCAATGTATGACAGATATTCAATAATGTTGAAAGAATGAAATATGGTTTCTAGAATGCGCCAATCAAGAGGTATCCAGGATGGGGTGGGAGGAGGGGAAAGGAAGGATATCTCTTCCTTCTGTTTTGCTAATAATTTGTTCAGGTCCAAAGAGTTAACCAAAGTAAATGAGGTTATGGTAGGAAGTTTATAGGCCACAGGAGGCAGTGGGGAGTAAGAACCTGTAACTATTCTCGAAAAAACTGGAGATCTTCAACAAATAAGACCAACTTCCAAGGCAGGTTGCTCTAATTAGGTATTTGAATCAAATATAATTTAAAGTTAGCTTGCCTGGCATGACTCAGTGGTTTTACATTGACCTATGAACCAAGAGATCACGGTTTGATTCCTGGTCAGGGCACATGTCCAGGTTGTGGGCTTGATCCCCAGTGTGAGGCATGCAGGAGGCAGCCTATCAATCATTCTCTCTCATCATTGATGTCTCTCTCTCTCTCTCTCTCTCTCTCCCCTCTCTCCCTTCCTCACTGAAATCAATAAAAAAATTTTAAAAATAAAGTTAATAATAATAACTACTGCACCAGACCCTTTATTTGAATTATTCTACTGAATCCATGCAACAATCCTATGACATGGAAATTAATTGTAAGGGACTGTGTTTGTGCTCTTCTGTCATCCCATCCCCAGCCACTACTATATAGTGGAGATGCCCAAATAATAGTGTCTCCATAAATGAGGCAATGAGTGAGTGAATCCCCACCTTTGCAAGTAAAGAACTGAGATTCAGAGCGGGAAAGGCACTTGCCCCAGTGGCACAGCTAGTCAGTGGCAGAGCTATGATTTGAAGGTCTGCCTTCTGGAGAAGCCCATGAGGCTAACACTGCTCACACAGCCTCAGTCCCTCACTCCATCTCTGAAGACAGAAGGTGGTCTTGCTTTATCACAATGAGACATCAATGGCTAACTAATATTCTGGTGCCCTGTTACCAGATCATTTGTATCTACTGTGTAAGCCTTGTTTCTTCAAATAACAAGTCATGACTTCAGGGACACACTGATTCTCTCAGAAATGATAGACTCGGCCTCTACATTCACAGTGGAAGCTTCACTTTTAAGAACGAATCATCACTAACATTTTATTCACAGTAAATATCTTCTAGAGAATTCCCTTAGAGAGATGATAAACCCATAGATTAAAAATAAAATAATGGCCGAAACTGGTTTGGCTCAGTGGATAGAGCGTCGGCCTGCGGACTGAAGGGTCCCAGGTTCGATTCCGGTCAAGGGCATGTATCTGGGTTGCGCGCACATCTCCGGCGGGGGATGTGCAGGAGGCAGCTGATCGATGTTTCTCTCTCATCGATGTTTCTAACTCTCTATCTCTCTCCCTTTCTCTCTGTAAAAAATCAATAAAATATATTTTAAAAAAAAAAATAAAAAAAAAATAATGCCCAGAGACTGGATCTCATTGACCAAGTCAGGCCAGTTACTTACTTTCATGAACTCTTCTTTTCTTTTCCAGTTATAGTACTGAGAAAGTACAACTAATATAAAGGTGGTGACGGGAAGGGACAAAAGTTTCCTCTACTCTGTTATGTCTAGTGACTGGGGCCCTGAAAATTAGATTCACAAGACAGATTAACAGGAGAAAGGTTTATTATTATGCATTTGGCCTTTGCAGAAAAAAGTGAAGACGCAAACAAGTAGATGGGCCTAAGAAAATATATATATATTCTTTTTAAGAAAATATGATACATTGTGGAGCTATGACAAGAAAAGGTAAAGGGGTGAAGAGTTTGGGCTAGGGGTGAGAAAGTTATTAGAAAACATGGGGGAAGCTAATGGAAGGTAAGGGTTATTTTAGTAAGGTTGGTTCGCAGATCCATCCACAACACTTGCTGTGTTCTTCGTGGTCATTAGTTTTTGTTGTTTTTATAAATACATATGCCATGAGCATATGTATAGGAAAGGAAGTATTTTGGTGCCAGTGAGAGCTTTATATATATCACCCATGTGCAAGTCAACTAGCCTTTTATATATATACTAGAGGCCCAGTGCATGAATTTGTGCATGGGTGGGGTCCCCCTGGGTGGCCTACAGGGATCTGGCTGAAACCTGCAGTTCAATGCTGCCTGTAGCTCCTACCTGCCACTCATGCTCACCCCGTCCCCACTGTGCCTGCTGTGGGCTCACACTAAATCAGTCCCAATTGGAGAGGCTTGCACTGCCGCAGCAGCGCTCACCAGTCATGAGCCCTGTGACTGGTGCCCTCCCAAGGGAGTGGCCTGTGGGATCGGGCTGAAACTGGCTCTCCAACATCCCCTGAGGGGTCTCAGATTGCGAGAGGGTGCAGGCCAGGCTGAGGGACTCCACCGGTGCACAATCAAGCTGGGGCGGGGACTGAGAGAGGGCTCCAGGGTGTGTCCGGCTCATCTTGTTCAGTCCCGATTGGCCGACCCCAGCAGCAAGTTAACCTACTGGTCAGAGCATCTTCCCCCTGGTGGTCAGTGCATGTCATAGCTAGCGGTTGAGCAGCCTTAGCTTATCATTAGCATATTACACTTTGATTGGTTGTTTGGTTGTTCTGTCATTCGGTCTATTAGCATATTACCCTTTTATTATATAGGATAGAATCAACTTGCTTAATTAGACCTGCTTTCTGATTTAGCTAAACGTTTTCCATCCCAGTGAAGCACCTCAACTTTTCTTTCAGGTAGTTGTCAGCAACAAGCAGTAAATATCAACATGAAGCAGGTTATTATTATAGATCATGCAGGAAGAACAAAAGGTAAAATATTTAACTGCAGTGGTGGGTCTTGGCAGCATCGGCTGTGATTTGGTGGGGTGTTGCTCTGAGTGGTGGCGGGGCCTGTGTTGGGGGAAGCCAAGTGTTGCTTTGTGGACACCAGGTCCATGGTGCTGTTTCTCTATAAATGGCCAGTGCATGTCAAGGCTGCTCCTGTGTTAAGTGTCTGCCCCGTGGTGGTCAGTGCGTATCATAGAGATCGGTCAGAAGGTCAGACACTTAGCATATTAGCCTTTTATATATAGACTAGAGGCCCAGTGCACAAAAATTTGTGCACTGAGGGGGACAGGGGGAG